TGGGAGGAAACAGATGGGTGAGAAAGAGAGAAAATTACCCATTTTTAAAGTAAAAAGTCAACCGTTTCCTGAAGTTTCCGCTTCAGGAGAATTTTTAATTGCTGACGAAATGTTTAATTGCTCAAAGGGCTTAAATCATGAGCGCAATGCGCAAATATTCATTAACATTGAATTACCTGTCGCCTTTGTAACAATTAAAAATATGACAGAACAGTATTTAAATTCTTAAATATATACAAATATATGTTTAAATACTGTAAACTGAATTGAATTTAATTCATGGAAGTTCGGAAAATATTTCGCTTACTTGATTAACAAGCAATTAAACCGATATCATATGATTGCTTTTAATTAAACGCGATGTTCTGCACTATCTGGCAGATTGTTGGCTGGAATTGTTTGTATCTGATATATCACAAAGTACTCAGCCGTGCAAAGTATATATGTATATGGAATGTGTATATATGTATATATGTTTGCTATACATCTATGTACATATGTACATATGTATATAAAGTTCACTTTATGTCCGTTTACGAGAGGAATGAAAAAGAGCCTGATAATAATGGCGAATAAAATGCCAGGTGGAAGTTGTTAGCACAGGTAACAACAATATATATAATATACAAATATATATGTATATGTGTGTATGTATACATGTATATGAAATCGCATTATTTTCCCATCTTGTGGCAATTACGTAAAGCCAGTAGCCAAGCGTATTAGCCACAGTTCGGAGTCAACGAGCCAATTAGACTACAATACGCAGCACAAACCTAATCGAGAGATGGTCAAAATAAGAAAAGAAATTCATGACCAACTTGAAGTCAAAATAAAGTTACGTGTCGTCGTACACCCGCTACTCTCCCCCACTATGGCGCAACCACAACAACAACAACCACTAGAGAGAAGAAAAAACACTCTAGCAAATCATTGTCTAGCAAATTGCTTCGACTCGAAGTTGGGGGAGATTTCATTCAGTTCGTTTTTCATTTTTTTTTCTTTTTGTACTTTTTTGTATTTTTTATATCTGTCTGCCCAAAAGACAACTCACTCGCATTGGTAGTTTCCCAAGCTTTTCGCGCTTGTTCTGACATGCTTTGTCTCTGGCGAAGAGGGTCGGCTCGAAGAGGGGCCAACGTTTTTATAGCAAGTCAAAAACCTATTAATGCTCAGCCAGCGCGTTCAACTTGTTACAATTCTTTACGTTTGACTCTCTTTTTGTATTTGTGTGTTGTTTCTTTT